AACTAAAACTGGGAAAAAATAATAGTCATTTAAGGAAAAAAAAAACCTTGAGAAGCTGAAGGAAGTGTTTAGAAAGTCTATTTTAAATTAATAATAAAAATTTACTTGAAAACATAATAAACATGCATCTTGGATGTTGAATTTATTTTCTAAAATGTAGAGAATAGGTCATTCAGTTTTTGCTTTAATTTGTTAGGTTTTGTTGTTGTTTTAAGTTTATTAAAATGAAACTCATTGGCAAACGTGTCCTCTGGAAATGTCTTCAGCAACATTTGGTTTAAATGTCCTTGTGAGAAGGGTTCCCCCCCATCACTAGGGTCTCTTGACTGCCTTTAGACCTCTGCCATCTACCACGTGGAATGTAGGCCCAGCCCTTCAGTCTCAGCGAGTCTCCTTTTCATTTTGGATGTCGAGTAAAAGCTGAACATTTTCTCTCTCTTTCTACACTCCCTATTTAAGTAAACCTAAGTATCTAAATTTTTGTTTGAGTCTCTTATTTCTTCTTTATTGATCCAAGTGTATAATTTGAGATCAAGAATCTTTTAAAGGTAAATATGGAAAGTTGTAGCCAAATAATATATCTTTTATTAGCATGCATGAGATTTATATTGTTTTATTCTTTACAGAAAATTTTCAGTATTTTCTTACTGTCAGTTTTTTACTCATTTGACAATACAGACATAATTTCCTGAATTCCAGCGGGCAGCCTTCACATGCAGATGAGTGGTAGGCTTGTTGGATTTGCTCTGCCACACTCAGGCTACAGGAGGCATCAGGTTTCTCTTTTTCAGTTAAAATCTGGCTCAGCTCCTCGCCCACAGGTGCTGACTGGATCTCCAGTCTCAGGAGTTCCAGCTCCTGTTTCCCTTGGGAGTATTCAAGAATATTGGGACACCTGAGCCAGCCCAGCGGCTTTGAAGACCGACCCCTGGTCTTCAGCCTGTGATGCTGCTTGTTGCAAACTGACCTAAGCCAGTGAAGTTGTTTCTAATTGTCAGATATTGATATATGACTCTGATGGGAGGTGGGAACCATAGGTCCCCTCCCCAACAGCCCTGCCACCAGATAGTCTGCTGCAATGAAAATGAGTCCAAGAGAAATTTTGGCATGTATATAAACACGTATTAGCAAGCAGGCAAAAAAGAATAATCATACTGGTAATCTCCAGGAAGTCCGAGCCAGAGCTCCTTGTAGGGAAGGTCTGCAGGCAGCAATCCTGTCGGTAGGATTGGCTGACCTTCCGACTGTCTGACAGAATTTTTTTGTAAAGTGCAAAACATAGGACCTAAGGGAGTCTTGGGCCTTTGACTGTCATTTCAAGGATATTGAGCTCTGGGCTCACCAAATTCTCATAACCCTTTTGTTCAAAAGCAGAAGTGCCTGTATAATATTTCCATATATCTATCTCAAGCATTCCTTATGCTCATGTAGAAGACCCTCTAGTGTCAGTTCGGGTAAGCATAACTGAAACACTCTCAGTGGCTGCCTGTGGAGTGTAGACTCTGGTGTGGGATCTTTCAGTGCATACTCTGCTCTCCTGGAACGTGGATTGCTGATTTCTTCTAAGGTCAGCTACCCCTAGGATGCATGTTAAAATTAGTTCATACACCCTTGTTTGTTGTACCGTCCATACTGAATTAAAGTACATGACAGACAATATAACCACTTCTGCTCCTATTTTTTCCTGAACTCCAACTCAAGGCCTTCACAATCCTTTCTCCATGACAGGCATGGGGACAGAGTTCTTTGTGAAGTCTTCCAGGACCTAAGGCTGAGTGGCTAACTCTCTATCTCCAGGCAGGTTCCCACCACCCCAGGGCTCAGAGTGTATTGGGCACAGGCTCCAAGCATCCTGGGTCCTAGAAAACTTGTCCTCCCAGACTCTCCTGGAAGGACCGCTCTCATGGGTAGGGCCCCAGGAGTGCACGCCTTCACCAAGACTGCCCCTATGCAGTGTGCCTTGGAAGTCAAGAGAAGTCTTGGCAACTTTTTGGGGTTTTTTTAAGGCTTTTAATATATTTTTAAAAAGAGAGAGAGGATATGGCAAAACAAGGTCACAAAAATTGGAATAGTTCTAGAATGTTCACAGGTGAAAAATGAGAACTTTTGAAAAATGCAAACACAAGTATAACCTCATCAGGATGTAATTTGTTTAAAGTCTAATTTAGGACTTTGATGAATGTGAGGCCTTGGGCAGTGGTCCCTGTGACAGGCCCAGCCTCTGGCCTAGACTAGGAAATCAAAGGCCTCTTAACCATCCCTTGGCCCAGGTGAAACCCAGATCCCCAGAACCTAAAATTTTTGCTCCTTTCTCAAGCAGAGGAAAGAAAATCACCTCTACTCAGAGACCAGTTAATTTATCCAGCAGGTTATCCTGCCTCACAGGGTTGGCCTCTTATTGCCATCAGAGAACTCCCAACCTTGAGTTCTTTTTAATTGACGCAGGGATGGATTAGAGGCTGTCCTAGCCATACTCTTTTTTTGATTTTTTGACCACCTAAGTGTCACAGGGTGCCCAGGACCAGTGGCATGTAATTAGAGAAACTGGGAGTTGTTGGATGGCTGGCTTCTTAGCTCAGTTGAATCACAGGACTAAATTGAGTTCAACAAGAAGACACACAGTAACTGGTCGGGACTAGGGAGAAGGGTACATGCTGGTGGAGACCATTGGTGGCAGAATGCAGACTCTGAAAAAGTTCTTCATCTGGGCCGAAGACAATGGGGCATATTTTACTATTATTTAAATGGTGTTTGTTGTGTTTATTTTATTATACTTTAAATGGCATATGATGGATTTCAAATCTTTTCAAAATTAAAAAAAATACATTGTATCTTCTTGAATCCCTTTAGGAGTAAGATGAGGTATAAATAAATGAGTAAATGAACAGCAAATGGTTAAAACAGTGTTTATTCTGAATGCTGCTTTTTTTCTCCCAGCATCTGGTCAACATTTCTGATGAAGACATACATGTTCATATTTTACCCCCACAAACCAAATACTTTCAGATCAAGTATGTGAAAAAGGTAAACATCGTTTGATGGCCTGTTCTCCCCCAGTGTTCTTTGTTGGGCTGTGGTTTTCTGTGTCACGATCAGGTTGGGGCGGGTATGTTGAGTGCTGTCCCACAGTCCTGCATGCTGTGTGCTCCGATGCCATCCCAAAAAGAGCCCACTTTTCTTCTAGGAACACCGCCTTGTCCCGGGCTTGTCCTTCACGGTCACCATTACATTTTCTCCAGATGAGTGGCGATACTATTATGATTGCATTCGTGTTCACTGTAAGGTAAGTTTCTTAAAGTCAGGTTTTTGCGGGTGGAGGCATGATGTCAAAACTAATATCCACAAGGGAAGAATAAAGAGAGACAGAATGACAAGAAGTTTCTCAGCCCAATGCCTAATGTTCCTTGTTTATCCATTCTGAGTGGCATGAAGGTCCTTGTCCAGTGACATGGGTCCCAGCTGGGGACACGTTAGGCAGCTGAGAACTGGGACAGAGCCACAAGTCACTGTTAGCTGCAGGTTTCCCACCTGTCCTGGCCTAGAAACCTCATTTATCATATGTTGCTGGAAGTTGATGAAGGCTTTTTTCAAATAACAAACATACTCCTTTAACTGCTAGGTTAAAAAAATTAGCAACAACCCAGAGTTGTGTTTATAAACACTGAAGAGTAGCCTACAGTGTCTTGTGTAGGAATGTCTTCAGAGGCAGCCTTGGTGGTCTGCAGGAAGATTGGAGCATGTATGACCTAACCCCAGATGGCCAAGCTGTGTGAGTTCTTTTCTAGGTCACCTAATTCATCCTTTGGCCTCGAGCCAGAGCCATCTCCACATGCTGTTAATTCTCTTAAAATTGTCACTTCTACACTTGCTTCTGCTCTATATTCTAGTCCCAACTCTTGTAAAAGTTGAGAAGCCTTAAGGTTAACCAAATTTAATTTTTCAAAACTAAAATGGGAGAGTATGCTTTAATAAATGATTTTGATTTTTAAAAAGGAAAAATAAAAAACCGAAAACTAAAATATATGGCTTTCAGGGGGAATATTCTATACCAAGAACAAAAATCCCTAGGCCAGGCATTATATAGAATGTCCCAGCATGTTTCCTGCTACTTAATAGCAATGCTAATAATATCTTTATGTAGTCCTTTCCACTTTTAAGGCCATCATTGCTTTCATTCTCAAAAGCACCTTTAAGAAAAGGCAGAATTATCCCCATTCTGCAAAGGAAGAAATAAGACCTGGAGCAGTTAAAGGTCATGCTTAAGGTCACACATTATGTGGACTAGAAGAAGGCCTCTGCCCCTCTTCCATTCACTGTTTACTACTCAGCACCATCTGGATCAGCTGACTCTGTACTAGCTTCTCTTTCTCTCAGGTCACTAAAGACTGCTTTCTTGTAACTTTCTGAAATTGAAGCAGGCAGACTACTGTCTCTATATCTATGTGATGTCATCATTAGCTTTCCTGGATCATAGCGAATATTATTTCAATGAAATATATTTTAAAAATTTTATACTTTGTTTATAGCTAAGAAAACTCAATATTTTAAATGTATTTAAGCATTCAGGTTTCTTAGGAAATATTTTTCTGGAAATATTTCTTAGTAATAGAAAACAAAATAAATTAAGTATCAAGTTTATCCTTAAAAATTATAGCCTTCAGTATGGTAAACTTGATTCATTTCCCATTAATTTTAGGGTGATGACACTTTGCTTGTTCCCATCCATGCCTATCCTGTCATGAACACTCTGGACTTTCCCTCATTTATAAATCTATCAAATGTTCTACTTGGTGAAAGGTGAGTTACCAAAACGAACTACCAAAATGTCATAGGGTGTGAAAAGTTAAGAGGTACTCACATATATAAAAACTTAGATTTGTTTTTTTCATAATGTAAGGTTATCTTTTGAGCTGAGTTAGGCTGGGCTTGTAGTTGCAAAGGGAAAAAAAAAAAACACACCAAAAAACTCAACTCAAAATATCATAAGCAAGAAAGGGAATTTGTTGGGTCATTTAACTGAAAGGTACAAGGTGGATCTTCAGAAACGGCTGTGTCTAGGAGTTTAAATCAGATTGCAGGAAGCTGACTCTCCCTATACCTTGGTTTTCTGCAGGCTTCTTTATCCTCTTCATGAGGGCAAGACAGCTGCCAGAAGCTCCAAATACTGTTGGCAATAGGGGTGGATGGAGGGGCTAGAGAGGTCAGGGGTATTTAAGCAAAAGTCTCAGAATTGAGTCTTATTGGATCAACTTGGATCTTCTGTCCATCCATTAACCAATCTCTGTGTTTAGATTAAGGGGGAAATGAATGCAGGGAAGACAAAGACAGTAGACAATCACTGTAGGAGCCAAATTTCAGATTCCTCCTCCTTTTTCTTGGGAAAATAGTTGATGATTCCAGTTGTAATTTAAGATATGTCTTGTTTTTCTTCACTACATATTTATAAATACCTACTACCAGGCGTAGTGCTGTCTGTTCCTAAGGACATAAAAAAGATGCATATTGAGCTGTTAGCTATCAAGATGTAGTGGTTATGCCAGTTGTTAAAATACTGAAACATTTCTCTACTAGTTGGGAAATATATGCTGTCCTGAGCCCTCCCCGCTCCCCTCTATCCCAGTTGCTCAACCCCTCTTCTGCCCTCTCCTCACCTCCCAATGATTCAGAAACTAAGTTGTGCAATACCTAGCAATTTGGGGGTGGAGAGGAACTTGCAAGACCTGGTTCCAGCCTTATATTCATCCTAATTGAGTACTGCCTATAAAGTCCTGATTGACTAATATTTTGAATATCACCCACGGTAAAAAAACAAAAAAAAAAGAATAGACATGAATAGCCAAAGTTTCTGATTCTGAAGGTCTTGAGTCTAATGGAGATAGAACCATATCAATAATTAATTACATCAATTGCTAATTGCTATAGTAGAGACACACATAGTGTCCTGTATGGGCCCAGAACAGGTAGCACAAAACTGACTGGAGGGATGGAGAAAATCTTCATTCATGGGGGTGAAATCTGGTTATCCTAAGAGGACACAGTGGGGTGGGGTGTGAGGATGATATTCCAAGCAGGGAAATAGCATGTACAAAGGCACAGTGCAGTGGAGAGCACTGACTATACGTGGTAGGCACTGAAGGGTCACTGAAGGATTTTAATACACCCAGTAGCTGACAAATACCAGCTGCCTCTTGGTATAGGCTCAGGTGGTGAGCAAAGACTGTGGGCAACATGCCACTTGGGTAAAGGCAAGTTCAAATGCTTGCTGGCAGCACCAAGCAGGGAGGGGGTACAAATTTCTAGAGTTAGAAAGAGTAGCAACTGAACCCTTTTGGTGGTGGTGGGGACCAATGTATACGAGTTTCAGGACCCTTTTTTTTTAGTACCATCTCTTGTTCTTGAGTGAAACCCTCAAATTTAGATCTGGAATAGTTACCTTGGTTCAGCCGATGTGTGACCCTCTTCTCCCACCCCCACACCTTCCCATGAGCTTCTGACTCACCATCTCTTTGTACTCTAATTTTTAAACAACTCTTTAAGAATTATAAATAAATAATACATATAAAAGAATATATTATAATCTCTGCAGAATAAAGAATAATAAAAATAATAAACAATGATTTTGAGATGTAAAAAATTACCAGTAACTTTGCATCCACTATTCTGAATTTTGTGATAATCATTTCTTTGATTCATTTTAATAGTTTTGATGCATACATATGCATCCCTAAATAACACATTGTTTAATTTTGCCAGCATTTGATCTTTATGTAAATGGAATCATACTGTATGTAAATTCTTTTGTAACTTGCTTTTTTTCATTCAATATTATGTTTTTGTGGTTCAGCCATGTTAATGCATATAGCTATAGTTTACGGCTATAGTATCTGCTGTATGGATATACCACAATTTTTTTACCTGCTCTACTGCTAATAGACCTATAAGTTGTTTTATACACACACACACACACACACACACACACACACACACATTTATTTATTTGTTTGTTTGTTTGTTTGTTTAGCTATGCCCAACACTGCCATTGTATATCCTTGTACATGCCCTGGGATGCATGTCTTGGAGTTTCTCCTAGATATATACCTAGAAGTGGAATTGCAGGTTCAGCACAAGTTCATTGTTACTATGTAATGTCAAATTGTTCTCCAGAATGATTGTACTCATTTACATACCCACCTGCAGTACATGAAAATTTGTTTTCCTACATCATTGCCAACAATGGGTATTGTCAGACGTTTACATTTTGGGTGACATGCATTCTTGGCTCCTTGTTCTTCCATTCTGCTTATTTTCTTTAAAACATTCTGCTAGAATTCTATCCAGTGCTTTCTCCCTATCCCTCATCAACCCTTCCTGTCTTTGCCTGTCCTTCCTAGTACTAAGTGGTTTGTGCAGAGACCCCAAGATTCACGTAACAAAGGTAAACCTCTCCTGGTGGGACCCACTCACTCTGTGCATTCTGAGGCCGAACATAGCTTTGTCCTTTAAATGAGTGAATACAGCAATTTTTGCCAAAATCGAAGTGGCAGGAAACAACTAACTTTTTAGTCCTTCCTTTTTTCTTTCCTTCTCTCCTCCTTCACTCCCTTTCTTCTTTTTTCTTCTTTCCTATGCACCTCTCTCTTTCTCCCCCTCTCACTCTACTTTCTCTTCTTCCCTCCCTCCCTTCCTTTCTTTCTTTTCTTTATTTCTTTCTTACCCTCCACAAATTACTTTTTTGTTTAGATCATAAACCAGGCTTATAAGAATAATATTTTTAATAAACTGGTGAAAATTATATGCTTTATAATGCAAGCATAAGTCTTGATTCTTAAAACACAAAAATCTACCAACTTCTCTAGAAGCTCTTCTGGAGCTATTTCGTACATAATGCCCTTTGTTTATAATCAGAATGAACATTTCAGCTAAACAGTTTATTATACTGAGTTATTGTGTATAATAATGTGATATTTTAAAAAATCTTTCAAAAGATAAACCACGCTACTTTCTTCCAGCAAACATTCTGGCAGCTGGTAGTGCCTTTCCTTAATGGGTCTTTACTAGCTTTTAACTACCCAAATCATTTTAGGCTGCATTCAATCCAGAATGTTTGGTAGCAAGGAAGGGGTAGGTATATGAGTGGGTTTTCACATGAAATGTTCTCCATCAATCCTAGGCTACCTTGATGTTTGAAGGCATCATTTTGGTAGATTCTTTAACATTTATTAATTTAACAAATCTTTATGAATGCGTACTATGTGTCAAGCACAATGTTTGGTATTGAGGATGCGGAGATTAAGACCTGATATCATCGTTAAACAGACAATTGTAATTTCTAATTCAGTGTATTCTGAAGAAGGACACCTAACTCAGCTCAGTGTGAGGAGAGTTAGGGATAGGTGGGATGGGGACACTCAAAGAAGACTTCATAGAGCAGAACATGTTTGAACTAGCTTTGAAGGATGAGTAGAAATCAGCCAGCAGAAGAAGGGAGCAGAGTAGGAGAGAACAGGCGTGTTTCAGGTAGTGCAGTAGCTTGGGCACCGTCATAGACGTGAAACAGCACAGATGTGTGGGCCTGTCTAGAATATCTATGTGACTGGGCATGGGTTGCAAGAACTGTGACAGGGGAAGTAGGGAGAGGGCTCAGGAAGTTAGGTTTTGCTGGGGAAATGTAGATTTTACCCTGAGGCCAAAACTGAAAGACTTAAGCAGAGAGGTAGCACAGTCATGTCTATTTTTTAGAAACCTCACTTTGGTGCCCCATGCAAAGAAGTAGAGGGGGCATGGCCAGGACTGCTGTGGTGAGCCACGCATGAGACAGCACAGGGCCTGGAACATTTCAAAAATAGGCGATGATTGCAAATATTTAAATGTAGCAGTAGAATTTTAGGTCAGGTTCCTTAGAAGCAGAAACATGTATTGACTGCACATGATTTATTAAGGCATAACCCATAATGGAATGAAGGATGGAGATGGAGTGTCCAGCCCCACAATCAAGGGCACTTATCTGGATAAGGTCAAGGTGAGAGTTATCAGCCACAGCTGCCCCCAAGCTGGGTGATGGGTGCATAAGCTGGTGAAGGAGAGTGTCAACAGCATCCACTACAAATCTGTGGCAAGCAAACTGGTCTTTGATTTACACATCGACTTGTCAGCACTCCATCTGGCTTCATCTAACTCTGGAATTGCACTTATATGGAGTGATGGTATGGATTCCATGAGTGGTTGAACCCATACGAGCTGTCGCCTGGCAGCGGTGATAATCTCCTGGTGGATTGTGTTGTGACTGAATAGTACAGGGCTGATGTGTGCTAGGTGAACCGTCACCAGGATGCTTTCCTTCCCCAGGACAGGGAAAAGCCGAAAGCCAAGGATGGTTTTCTAAGGAATTTTTAGATTGTTGGAAGAGAGTGAAGGAAATAGTCCATCAATCCTCAAATCTTGTCTATTGAAGGCTGCTTTTTAATCCTCAGCTTGTCATTGCTTCATTATTCATTAATTCATTCTGATTTGGGCCTGCTGGCCTCCAGTTTGTGGCTTCTGATTTAATTAAATTTTTTACCTACTTGGTTTGGTCCACATAGATGTGGCCCACACAGTACGTTTGTTTGTTTGTTTAATATTTGAATTAGCTGCCAACATTTAAAAATCAGAAGATTTCACATAGAAATTTAGATTTCCACTTTTTTTTTTTTTTAAAGGAAGACCCAGCAACACTGAGTTCACATTTCTAGATGATCACAATCAATTCAGCTAGGATGGATTAGAAGCACCTCTTTAGAGATCAGTGCCTTGGCCAG